TTTTATTCATAGAAATGAAGTAATGGAGAGAGCAGATTTCTTTCTTTATTCTCATCTCTGAAAGTCTGTGGTTTTGAGTTTTACGGGGTTTTTTTGTGTGTGTTGATTTTTTTTTAAATATATTACTATGAGTTACAAAAATCAAAATACCTGTAAAAATAACTCATAGGAAACGTATTATTGGAAGCATGTAACTGTGGTGACTCTAAAGCAAACTGCCTCACCCCAACCTGCACTTTCACTGCTTCTACCATTGGCCTGTACTCCAAGGCAAATAACTCTTTGCAACCTTTATTAAAGAATCATAGCCTTTATTATAGAATCATTGAATGGTTTCCATTGGCAGGAACTCGAAAGATCATCCTGTTCCAAGCCCCCTGCCCTCCTCTGGATTCGCTTCAACAGGTCCACATTTATCTTGTGCTAAGACTTTCAGCAGTCCTGCAAATCCTCCTTAGCAGTGCTGTTCTCAATGAGTTCTTCTCCCAGTCTGTACTTGTGTCTGGGATTGCCCTGATCCAGGTGTAACACCTTGCACTTGGACTTGTTGAACGTCATTGACTTCTCATGGTCCCACTTCTGAAGTTTGTCCAGGTCGCTCTTGATGGCATCCCGTCCTTCTGTTGGATCAACGGCACTGCTCAGCTTCGCGTCATTGGCAAACTTGCTGAGGGTAAGCACCTAACTTCGGTTTAAAGCTTTCTGCTGTGACTTTTTTAAAGGAGTAAACTTCTTCATGGTCAAGTTAAGTTTTTAGGTTGTTGTCCTCTAGGCATAGGTATTTTATAAACTCAGGCTTACAGAGATAGAAACTGATATGTTAGCTGATGACCTTTTTGAAAGCAAAGCAAAATTTATTTGAAATGCCTTAACTAAATAAAATAACACAGCCAAAATAAGCTTAGCCTCTACACAGGCTATCTGATATAAACTAAATTGTATGAAATGTGATAAAAGTATTTATGCCTGTTAGCTGTGTCATGTATAGTATCTAAAAGCATACAAGATTTTTGGTCAGCTCTAGTATTTACAAACTGCCTTTTCAAATTTTGCTACCAATTATGTATGCACTTATAGACCATGGGAGCTCAATATTTGTCACATGGAATATCAATTTTGTTAGTGCTAAAATAACCCTACAACATGCAAAAAACCCATGCCCCAGTTTCACTGTGTGCATATTTTTATTACTTTTCTCCACAAAGAGGAAAGGACTTAACTGATTCAAACACAAAGTTTATCTCTTTGTAACTTCCTGTGATATCAGTCCTCAGTCCCACTTTGAATTAACTATTTCCTTGAGAAAAGTCAAGGAAAAAAAACCCACCCTGTAACAGAGTCACCTGCATTATCAAAAGCATTTGACAAGTTGGGTTCCCAGCAGTTTTCAGCTTGGAGAAAATTCCAATTAGGGACAATGTGAATTTCCTGTCATATCCTTTTCTGATGAGAGGTGGAATACATAAGGGCAAAATGATAGTGACAAAGCTGAACAATGTATTTTAAAGAAAAATATGTTTCCTTTGTATATGCAAGATGTTTCAACTAGGTGCTGCCTCCTTATTTCTAAAACAGTGGCATGTGAAGACAGTCGCCAACTGCCTGAGGCACAGAGGATTTGTTCCAAAAAGCACATAGACATCTGTTCAACTGCACAGGAGAGAGAGCAGTGGAACACCTGTAGCTAAAAGTCTTCAAAAATCCTTGTAACTTTTAGCAATGACAATATCTAAAATCCTGTGTCCACAGTTCTAGAAGCCTTTGCTCCAGGAGAAAGGATAAACACAAGAGGCATGGGAAAGAAATTGCTCTGTTTGTACAAAGATACCCAGAAAACAGCATTTTCAATAATACAGAGACAGTGGTGTGCTCCAGAACAAGCATCAAAGGCAAAGTTATCCTGGGGGTTGTCTGAGACTAGCATGTGAACTCTTTCAAGAATTTTTACTATGAAAATTGCCCACTTTTGCTCAAAACATGTCACCACAACTATCCACCCTGCCACACATCCCACAGGAAACCAAGTACCTGAAATCCTTTTAGCAAGTCTTTCATATATGCTTATTGTACTATGTTTGATTTGTAAACAGCTGGCACCAAAGGGGTGCTGCCCATCAGGCAAGATAAGTAGCATGACTGAAGGCAAGTCAGAGCTACAAAGTCAGTTCTACCTGTCTCTTCTCATATTAATACAAGAGTCGGCATGATATGTGAAATTTAGACGCGGGGTGAGGCGAAAATCCCAAAGGGTATCCCAGCTTTGGCTTGCTAGCTCTATTTTAATCACCAAGAATACACTTCAAGGCAATCCAAGCAGATAAACAAGTACATTAATCTTTGTAGAGAAAAGCTTTAACTGAAACAAAGCTGTTCTTTTTAGATGAAAATCCTAAACAAACATCTTGTTTATCTTCTCACCAGGGCCAGAGGTACAGAGAGAACAAAAATGTAACAGACTACAACCCTGACCTGCACTACACAATACCCCTGTATGCTACCATAATAATCTACATGAAAATACATTAGCCACCTTAAAAAATTACAGATGCCAGATATTTCCTGCTGAAAATATTTGACACTCCTGCCAGTAAAGTTGTCACTATCATTCTGACTCTCACATTTCCCCACTTCGTACATGTCCCAATTCGCTATGTGCGTGCATCAAATCCAAGAAGTTACTAATTCCCACAATGAACGAATTCCTACAACTAATCACGCAAGAAACATTTCTTCAAACTAAAAGGAATAAACATGTAAAAAGTGCAGGTGCTTGATATTTATTAATCAAGAGTTTGAAGAGCCCAAGTTCCATCTCAGCTCTTGGGTTACCTTGTTCGCAATAGTGTTTCTCTCCCACCAAGTCATGCAGCTTATCCTTCACAGCAGTCCTGCATGAAAGGCTCTTTTAGAGCAATGTAATGGTTGTTTCAAATCCCTCAAAAATATAAAGTGTTCATTACATCAGAAATATTAATTCTTAATGATGAGAAACTGTTGCAAAGAACAACAGTGAATTCTGCTATGGTTAATTTCAAAAGCAGGAAGTTGACATTAACTGAAGAAGGCACAAACTGTGACTTTCTTCCACTACTGAGGGATGAAAATCACAGAATCACAGACTCATTTAGGTTGGAAAAGACCTTTGAGATCATTGAGTCCAACCTCTGACTCATCACCACTTTGTCAACTAGACCATGGGACTAAATGCCACATCCAGTCATTTCTTGAATGCCTCCAGGGATGGTGATTCCACCACCTCCCTGGGCAGCCTGTTCCAATGCTTGACAACCCTTTCAGTGAAGAATGCAAGACAACAATCCTCCCCACTTCCTTCCCTAAGACATGGAACCATGAAATACTTTATCTCAAAGTAACTGCTAGGCATGTACCTATATGTAACATACACAGAAACAGGGATGGTTTTTCAAAGCACTCTTATATAATACACCCTCTCTTTCCCAGACCCTAAAATGCATAGAAGATAGCGCTGGGGAATCTGCTTCCAACATCAACAGCTCCTGGGACTCCAGCAGACAGCAAGCAGGCACTCTACATTGCTTGGTTATACAGTATGGCAGAGCTCCACTTGAGAATGACACAACTGATTCATCTCCCCCCCTCCCCCCGCCTCCTTTGCCAAGGCCACCTCTGACAACCAAGCAGAGCCTGGGCCCCTGCCTGGCTCCAGCACCCCGCACTGCTGACAGCAGCCCTGTGGACAGCAGAGCGCTGCAGGGCCTGAGCAAGGCAACACTGGGTACAGAAACGATGCTTCTGATACCAATCGCTTACGCTATGAAGTAAAATTAATAAACAATTTTAAAAAATGTGTATGCAGGACAGTGTTTCAAGCTGCATAAAAGAAAATGTTCTGTTTGTTCCATTCCACAGCAAATATTATATAAGCTCTTCAGTTTTTGTTTGAAAGGCACACATCTGATACGAAAATTGAGAATATGGCATTTTTTATTTAACCTCCTAAGTGCTGCGTTTTGATGGGAAAACCAGGTAATCAAGTCTTTAAAAAACAGAGCAGAGGAATCCAGTCCTAGCCACACCCTGCCACAGTGGGGCTGTGGCTGCCGACATTACAAAACCCAGCCAGGTACACGGGATAACCCAGCAGGAAAAAAAATATACAGAAATAAATAACAAAAATATAAATAAATAAACAACACATTAATATATATACATATGTAATATATACCATATATTATATATATAGTATATACACTTTATAGATCTATAAATATACATATTACAGATACATAATATATTAATATATAAAATATATGCATATATATCTTATATATATCATATATATATGATATATATATCATATATATCTTATATATAACATACTCGATATATATCTATATCTATTATAGATATAAAACATAACAAAAATAAATAAATAAACTAACACTTGATCTCCCCTATAAAGCGAAGCGCCCGTGTGCTCAATTTCACCGGCAGCCTGGCGAGGCCAAAGCCTCATTCGACGCTTCCTAAATTTCTCCCAGGAGGAAGCAGCACATGCTGCAGTACCGGGCGAGAGGGGCAGTCGATGGCCAAGCGAAGCCTTGCCGGCCGCGTACCGCCGCCTTCGGTCGGACCGGCCCCGTGCCCGCCGCGGCTCCCCCGCTCGGAGCTCCCCTGTTTCCCGGGTACCCACTCCCGCCTCCTGGGTACTCACTCCTGCCCGGCCGGGCGCCCCCGCTCCCTCTCACTGCTGCTGCTTCTCCTCCTGCCGCCGCAGCCTCACTGGGAGGCGCCAGGGCGGCCCCGCCGAGCCGTTCACCTGCCGCAGGTGAGGCGGGTGGGGCCGGGGCGCCTGCGAACCGCCCGCTCCCCTTCCTGCCCCGCTCGGTCCCGTCCCATCCCGCCGCTCCCGCCTCGTCTCGTCCTCCTCTCCCCACCGGTCCCGGTCCCGGTTCGCGCTTCGCCCCTTTTTCCGCCTCCAAACAGGCGAATCCCGCGGCCGCCTCTAACGGCCGGTGCCGTAAAGCGCGGCGCGGGCTGCGCGACAGCCGCGAGGTCCCCGGTGGAAGATGGCGGCGGGGGAGGCGAAGTCGGTGCTGTTCGTGTGTCTGGGTGAGCGTGGCGGGGGCGCGTTGCGGACGGCACTGCTCCTGCTCCCTGACCGCCGCTGCTCCCGCCCGCCGCTCCTCGGCCCAGGGCGCCGGCGGGGATGGCTGGGAGCGCGGGGAGACGAGGGCCCGCGGCAGGGCCGGCGCGCCCCGCCCGCCCCGGTGCCGCGGGTGTCCCGCCCGAGGGAGCTCCGACCGTTTCCCTTGTTGGGGAGAGCCGGAGCAGTGGCCAGGAAGGCAGAAAGCGTAATCTGTCTGCTCCCTGGTTCTGATAGGTCGGAGTAATGAGGAGAAATTTTACACAGAGCGTGGCAGAACACGGGAACAGGCGGACCGGAAAGGTCGTGGAGTCTCCCACTCTGGAGACAGTCCAAACCCACGTGGACGCGTTCCTGTGTCACCTGCTCTGGGTGACGTTGCCTTGGCAGGGGGATTGGACTGGGTGATCTCCAGAGGCCCCTTCCAACCCTAGCAATTCTCTGGAATCAGTAGGAAATAACAGGCGAAGTCCAGTGTTGAAAAGCGCGAAGGTTGTGCGTGGGGAAGAGCAGCAGCTAAACACACATAAACCACCATCAGGGGTGGTGACTGTGAACGGCCTTCTGAGTTGTGCAGCTCTTGGCTCCTGAACAGCCAGTAGGGAACAAGGAGCCTGCCCACAGGTTTGCTGTTTGGAACACCTGACATGGAAAAGGGAGAGAAGACTGCAACAAAAATGACTGAAGTTAATGAAACAACCTCTGCAAAAAGAGGAAAAGTACGTTAGGACTTTAAGAAAAAGAATTTAGTGGAGGCTGATCTGTCATGATCTAATAATGAAATCTTGATCTGTCATGAAAATGAGGGAAAAGAATAAGAATTTTTTGAAAGGCTACCAAAAGGAAGAAATAGAAAACTTTTTTACAGATGTTCTGTGTGTTTATGTTGTAAATGCTGTCAGGCAGAGTCATAGGAAATAGAAGTGTAGATGGGATCAGAAATTACTTGAATGTTTTTCTGAAACTTAAGACAATAAATTACTGATAAATAAGATGATTACAACCAACAAATTGCTGAATTGGCTGCACGGATTACAGAGCCATGCCCCATTTTGTACACACTTCCATCAGGGGATAACAAGCTGGATGGTGCTCTACTCTAATCTAGGAGTGCCTTTAACATTACCTATGTTCCAGCCTGTATAATCTTACCTGTGTGCTGTGAATCCCTGGCATTTTGCCAGGTTTGTTATAAAACTATTGGTTAATGTTTGGGCTTTTCATTATCTGCTTTTCTGTTGTAACAGGAGACATGCAGATTAACTGAATAGCAAAACAAGAGTTTAGTTTTGTGAAATATGTTCTGATGTTTACCTTGGAGTAAAGTCAGCATCTAATAATAATTCAGGAAAAGCATCCTTCACTGAGGGATTATCAGTTGCTGTATGTTTGGAAACCAGTGGCCTATACAAATGTTTTTGTATAAAAACATCTTAATTAACATGAATCCTTCTTCCCAAACATGATGTTCCAAAGGCTGTAGTAATCACCATCCCCGTGTGCTGAAAGATGAGCCAGCAGAGAAGGAGATTGGCCTGGCTGGACAGGGAGCTTTGGCTGGAACTGAGGGAAGAAAGGAGAGATTATGACCTCTGGAAGAAGGGGCAGGCAGCTCAGGAGGTCTATAAGCATGTTATGAAGTTACGCAGAGAGAAAAATTAGAAGACCCAAAGACCAGTTAGTACTTAATCTAGATACTGCTGTTAAAGATAACAAAAATGTTTTTGTAAATACATCAGCAACAAAAGGAGTGCTCAGTAGAATCTCCATCCTTTGTTGGATGCAGGAGGAAATAATGACCAAGGATGAGAAAAACGCTGACTTATCTAATGCCTTCTTTGCCTCAGTGTTGAACAGTAAGACCAGTTGTTCTCCAGGTACCAGCCCCCTGGGCTGGAAGACAGGGATGGGGAGCAGTATCACAGAATCATAGAATAGAATCACAGAATCATTAAGGTTGGAAATTACTTCCAAGATCATCAAGTACAACCTTTAACCAAACACCAATCTCTCAATTAAACCACAGCACTAAGTGCCATGTCCAGTCATTTTTTGAATACTTCGGGGATCGTGACTCCACCACCTCTCTGGGAAGCCCCTTTCAATTCTTAACCAGCCTTTCGGTGAAAAAAATTCCTCCTGATGTCCATCCTGAAGTTCCCCTCTTGTGCAGCTTGAGGCCATTTCCTCTTGTCCTGTTGTGAGTTGGCTTGGAGGAAAGATTGACCCCCTCCTAGCTACAACCTCCTTTCAGGTAATTTAGAGAGCCTCAGCCTCCTTTTGTCCAGGCTAAACAAGCCCACCTCCCTCAGCTGCTCCTCATAGGACTGTGTTCCAGACTCGTCACCATCTCAGTTGCCCTTCTCTGGGCATACTTCAGCACCTCCATGTCTTTCTTGAAGTAATAGACCCAAAACTAAACTCAGGATTCAAGCTGTGGCCTCACCACTGCTGAGTACAGGGGGATGATCGCTGTCCTAGTTCTGCTGGCAACACTATTCCCGATACAAGCCAGGATACCACTGGCCTTCTTGGCCACCTGGGCACGCTGCTGGCTCATGCTCAGCCAGCTGTAAAACAGCAACTCTAGGTTCTTTTCTGCCAGGCTGCTTTCCAGACACTTTTCCTCCACTGAGGGAGCTGCTGGAAGTGCTCACTGAGCCACTTCCAATCATTTATGAGCAGTCCTGGTCAACTGGGGAGGTCTTTGTTGTCTGGAGGTTGGCAAATGTGATGCCCATCTAAAGGAAGGGTTGGAAGGACGATCTGGGAGAACTACAGGCCTGTCAGCCTGATGCCAATGCCAGAGAAGGTCATGGAGCAGACCATTATGAGTGCTGTCATGTGGCACATACAGGGCATCAGGCCCAGGCAGCATGGGTTTAGGAAAAGCAGGTCCTGCTGATTGACTTGATCTTCCATGACCAGATGATCCACCTTGTAGATGTTGTCTACCTGGACTTCAATAAAGCCTTTGTTGCCATTTCCCAAAGCATTCTTCTGGAGAAACTGGCTGCTAATGGCTGGGACAGATGTGCTGTTTCCTGGGTAAAAAACTGTCTGGATGGTCAGGCCTAGAGAACGTCGGTGAAGCTGGTGGCCAGTCATGAGTGGTGTTCCCCAGAGCTCAGTATTGGGATCAGTCCTGTTTAATATCTTTGTCAGTGATCTGATTGAGGGGATTGAGGGCAACCACAGTAAGTTCACAGGCAACACCAATTTGGGTGGGAGTGTTGATCTGTTGGAGGGTAGGAAGGCTCTGCAGAGGGATCTGGACAGGCTGGATTGATGGGCCAAAGGTTCAGTAAGGTCAAGTGCTGGGTCCTGCACTTGGGTCACAGCCCTGTGCAGAGCTACAGGCTTGGGGAAGTGTGTCTGGAAAGCTGCCCAGTGGCAAAGGAACCTGAAGGTGCTGGTTGACAGCCGGCTGAACATGAGCCAGCAGTGTGCCCAGGTGGCCAAGAAGGCCCTTGACTGTATCAGCAATAGTGTGGCCAGCAGGACCAGGGAGGTGATTGTTCCCCTGTACTCAGCACTGGTGAGACCACGCCTCAAATCCTGCATTCAGTGCTGGGCCCCTCACTACAAGAAAGACACTGAGGTGATGGAGAGTATCCAGAGAAGAGCAATGAAGCTGGTGAATGGAGAGGAAGTCTTACGAGGAGCAGCTGAAGGAGGTGGGGTTGTTTAGCCTAGAGAAAAGGAGGCTGAGGGCAGACCTCATCCCTCTCTACAAGTACCTGAAGTAAGTTATAAGCGATAGGATCAGAGGAAATGGCCTTAAGTTGCACCAGGGAAGGTTTAATTGGGTATTAGGAAAAGTTTCATTACCAAAAAAGCTGTCAAGCATTGAAAGGGCTACCCAGGGAGATGGTTTAGCCTCTGGAGGTATTTAACAGACTTGTAGACATGGTGCTTTGGGACATGGATTAGTGGTCAACTTAGGAGTGCTGGGTTAACAACTGGACTCAGTGATCTTCAGGGTCTTTTCCAATCTAAACTGTACTATGCTTTTGTGAAACAATTCATACATATGAGTTTGTAAGCCCATGATGATTTGCACTGTAATAAGTTTCTAATGCAAGTTGGTGTCTGAGGAGCTCTTACTAGTGTAAGATAATATAATAATTTATATTAATTATTAATTTTAAGACTGAGGGCTGGGTGGACAAGTCAGGACAAGTGTTAGTGGGATGGGTTTTTTAATCAAATCACATATTGTAAATAGCTTTTAAATTTCCTCTTCTGTGTTACTGGGCTATAAAAAATAGCCATAATGGTATGTGGTGTGAAAAAGCTAATTGACATGATAAGCAGTTCTTTTTTCCGGTGAAATATACACTCTTTTCAGTTAAATTTTGTAGGCAAGTTGTTTCTTCTTCTTCCTGCTTTAAGTTTGCTTAATTTTCTCTGGTTGTTCTTGAAGAGTGATACTTTTTTCTCACAAATTTTATTAGAAATAATAGCTGAGATTATTGCTGAAAAGAGTACTAAAGAGATTTCTAGAACCACATTTATCTGTACTATTCTTTACTGGTTAATGAAGTATACTAATTCTTAAATTTGCCACATCCAGTGAGAGTGGATCCCAGAAAGTACAATTCTTACATTTTCTTTCTACATTGTTGTGAAAGAACCGTATTACTGAAATATCTCTCGACTGCGTTCTTTGTTTGTAATGAAATAAGCAGATATTCATTACACAACAAAATACAATCTAGTTAATGTGCATAACTACATTAATGATAAGGGTTCCTCATCACTGAGAGAATAATGAAATACTCAGCAAAATATGTAATTACAGTATATGAAAAGATACCAGGAAAGAATTTTTTTCCATTTAAGCAAAGAAATAATTAAAAGTGGAGGTGAACCAAAATGCAGTTTGCTCATTTTACACTTACATAGCTCATGTAATTAATGGTTGAGCTCCAGAAATGAGCTTAATATGATGCTGTGTTATATA